TATAAATCATATAGGTGAGTCTGGAGATGAATTTCTTAGTTCTTAATGCCCTGATTTGAGCCTGGTAGCTTGGGTCATTTACCACCACCTGGTGACAGCTAAACCTAAATGCAGCTTCGTGAAGGGTAAATAAACTCGTTGAAGTCAAAGTTGCAAACTTAAGTGCATCTAAAAGTGAGAGCAGTGGTGCCTAATGGATTTCACTTGCATACCAGCTGCATGGTGCCCTGGATTTTGGAGTATCCCCCATTTGGGGGATACTTTGGGGACATGTGTTTAGAAAGGCCATCTTGTATCACCTGGGCCTCCAAGAGTATGTTCAGACCATTTTGCCCCTGAAGCCTAAGGGATGGATTGTTTAGGGATGGACAGATAGATTCGTTCATTCATTCATTTGTAATCTTGGAATATAAAGTTGACTGTCTTTACTCTCAGGAAGCTCAGAAAGGGAAGGAGAAAATACCAGTAATGACGTAATAGTAGCTAACTTTTAAGTGCTTATTATGTGGTAGGTACTGCAAGGCTATTTGAAGTTGGTAGTCAGAGATAACACCATTTTGCGTATGGATGCATAATTTAGAGATTGTAGAAAAGAACCAAAGACTTGACAGTTAAAAATTGCTAGAATGCTGTCAAACTCAGAAGCATGTGAGTCTGCTTATTTTAGAAACTGGGTGCCTCACTTGGGAACAAGCATGGGATGTGCTCAGGACAGACCACAGGGGAGACTAAATTGGGATTCAAAGTTGGCACCCCTTGTAGGGTGCACAGGGCCAACCATGTGCTGACGTTGCCAGCCTTATCCTTTTTTCTCTAATCTAAACAAGTCAACCTTGGTCACAGAATATACTGGGCAATATGCTCCTGTAAGAAATGCTCAAGCATGACAGCAAATGTGCATGAACAGCATTCATTTAGCATAATGGCACAATTGCTTCATGAAGCATCATTTGCTGAAAACCACCAGCCTCATTGTCAGAAGCTTCAGCACCCCCAAATCCTTCCCATGGCCCGTTTCTTCTCCCCAGAATGAGGCACCTTGTCAGTGTTGCATCAGCTGTCTGCTTTTTTAGAACTCCTGGAGATCTTCTCCCTACAACACTCTGCCCAGATGATGCCTTTTATTGATTTATTTTTAAAGCTAAAATCTAGGAGACAACGATCAGCAGGATCCACTCGGACTCTTTCTATGAGCTGTTCACTAGGGTGTTCTTAAACCGCATCTCTTGCTTTCCTTGACTTACAAAATGCTGATTTCTTCAGAGGTAGTGAAACTAGTGTATTTGAAATCATATTTTATGTTATTTGATTAAATATTACCCCTGACCATGGAAACTTCTACTTAATTTATGTACCTATTTTGACTATCATTGAAAGATTTTAAATGTCAATTTTAAAAAATCTTAATACTATAGAAAGGAATGAAAAAGGAACACTATGAAGATGATTTTTGAAAATTATTCCTACAAAAATGGAAAGAAATTTACACACAAAAAAAATTATTTTTGGCCTGTAATACTACTGCAACCCCAGAACTATTTAATTTATCTAACTTCTCTTCCAAATTTTACTTTCATCGTTACAAACTTTTGTTTTTATATCCCTTGAGGTTTTTTATAAATACTTCCATTTTGCAATATATTTGTTTTTAGTGTTTGTGTAATATACTCCATCAAATTGATATTCTGTAATTTATTACCCTTTTCTTTAGTGCTAGACATTAAGGTTATTTCCATTTTCTCTCTATTATAAATAATGGGAGCAAGAACATCTTTATATATATAGCTTTTTTCCTATGTTTGAATTATATCCTTAGAATAAATTCCCAGGAGTAGGATTAGTGGGTCAAAGGGTATGAACAGCTTTATGGCTCTTAATATTTATTGCTAAATTGCCTAAAGGGTCATTCTAATTTATAGTGCCACCTGCAACACATGAGAGTAGCCGTCCCTCACAGCCCTACCAATACTGATTTCTTCAGTCAATAGTTTTGGGCAAGTTTAATAGGTATTAAAGGATAACTCATTACTGTTTTTAATTGGTAATTTCTTTATTATCAACATTGGACATTTTTTCTTAAGTGTGTTTCTTATATTCTATTTTGTATGGTTTGCTTTATATGTTAGAGGATGGTATTTTTTTGACACCACACGAAATTTAAAATATTTTATAATAAAAATGCCAAGTGCACTCAGAACAGAGAGAATAATCTATGAAGCTCCCTAGACTCAATACCTAACAAATAGCAAGATTTTTCCTTTTTCCCCCTTTGTGCAGCATTTTAAGCCAAATTGCAGACATTCTGCATATATTTCCTATGTATTTCACTATGCACCTCTAAAACGTATGGATTTTTCCTTACATGATCATAATGCCATCATCACACCTAACAAAACTGATGATAATTCCTTGGTATCATTAAATTGCGGCCTGCAGTAAAATTTTCTGGAGTGTTTTTACTGATGCTTTGCTCCAGTCAGCATGCATTATGTTTACATTTGGTTGTGTTTCTAAAGTCTCATAATCTAGAGCGTGCTGCCCCTGCTTGCCCCCCACCCCCTTCACCCTTACCTGGTGACTTATTGTCACCAGGGAACTGAGTCAGTTGTCCTGTAAAAATTCCCACATTCTGGATTTCACATTTTGTTTCCTTATCAGCTCTAGAAGCTTGATTAGAGTAAATTTCAACCTTCCTTTCTTTTTATGGGGGCCGGGGGAGGCGAGAATACTTCACCGGTGGTGCTTTGTGCTTTATTTTGTATCATTTCTGGGGTTTATAGTGTCTGGGTTGTTCCACTCGGGGTGATACTAAGGCTGATAATGGGTTCGGGTGCTGGATAGCTCAGAACACAATCGAAAAGTTTCTCATCAGCTTTTCCCCTCATCATTTCATCTATTGCTGATGGTTGTTTGAGGTAGTTATTTCATAGAGATTGCAAAATTTTGATTTTTCTAATTCCATCATTTCTTCCCTATTGATTAACTGGAATTCTTCTATAGAGTAAAACGTTTTCTTCATAAACTAGGGCTTTTTAGAATCTCAAAATGCAGTTTGTACAAGTAAAGCGAGATAAATGTGTATTTTTTTCCTTCACATTGCCGAGTTTCCAAGTAAAGAGTTGGTGCCTTTGTTGTTTCCAATGGTGTCCAATGAGGAGTTGTTACTGATTTTTTTTTTTTTTAAGATTTGTAAAATATCATGTTCTTTAATATTTATATATTCCATGTGTTTTACTCAGTTATATTCATTGTTATTTTTGGCGATCAAATTGTCCCATCCCTGGCCCAAGAGGGGACCCCTCATGTCCTTGTTTACAGGCATAACAAAGGATCTCAGATTCATCTAGTTTTTTGCTCCCTGAAATGGGCCATCCCTCCAAGAAGTCCTGTGTTTTTTTAGTGCGGAATGGTATTTGGAGACCGCAACTGGGTAGGTATATTATACTCTTATCATTGCTAAGTTTTCCCAGTAGACAGAGTAGGAATGCATAGTTTACAAAAGAAAATCAAAGATTAAAGTTCATACTGATAATTGTCATTTCAAATTTAACAAAACTTTTTTTTTACTTCTTTGATTTCATACTCATATTTCTCTCTCTTACCCTAAAAATTTTGCTCCCAGACATGATTATACTACAATATATATCATATAGTTTTAAGGTAACAATACTGATGTTACTACTAACAGTTTTCCTAGTGAATGAGAGATTTCTTGGCAGCTGTATTTATCCTTAGGACATATCCCACTAAAAATATACAGTTAAATCACCTTGTTCTAACAACACTTGAATTAATACTTTTCACCAATTTGATACACAGTTAAATTCCTTCATTTCAATTTGTTTTGAAGATTTAGGGTTCCCTTTTTTTTGGTTTAATTTTATTTTTTGAACCTGTAAAATGTGCTTTTGAAGTTAAACCTATGTAACAAGTTATTATCAGAAAAGTTTGGTCTTTTTGAAGGTTATATAGACCTTTGTTGTTAGGATGTACCATGCTTTATTTATCCAGCTACTTACTGGTGGAGTTTTGTTTTGTTTTGCGTTTTTTAAAAAACAAAATCCTGTGTCCAAGTCATTTCATATTTTGGCCAATGTATCTTGGGATCTGTTCCTAGAAACGAGATTACTGTGTCTAAGTGGTAAATGCATATATACTTTTTCTAGATATTGCCAGGATCCCTTCCATAGGAATTGTACACTGAGAGATTTATTAAAATGATTTTGTTAATGCTCAAATTTAATATACGAGATTGTTGGAAAGTTAGTGCATTTTTTATTGAACCTATCTACTGTTCCCACTACTGTCCAAGACATGGCCTGGTACAGAGTACCCTGGGTCCTGCTTTTAGGGAACCTCTGTTTTGTCCAGGGAGACACGATATATGAATGAAAAAAAAAAGAGTAGTCCAAGATAAAATATATTATAAAAACAAAGGTGAAAGTCCAGCTCAAGTATGTTTAGGGAGCCTTTCCTGCTTACTTCAGGCCACATGAGTCCTCAGTCCTCTGAATTTCCTTAGCACTTTTAATCACAATTTTAGTGATCTTTTTCCCAAACCCAAACTTTTGACACTTGGTTGAACAGATATGAATGTATTAATAGGAATAACAGAGCTGAATGTTTGAAATGGGGGCTGCCTCCTAAATTCAAGCTGAGCAAATTCTTGTAAAGTCTTATCTGCTGTTCCCCAAAGCATGCTCACTAGAATGTCTGTGGGATGTTATTAAGGGTTGCACAGCAAAATCAGTGTGGAAATGTTGAGTTAAACAAACCTAATGAGCTGTGACTCCAAAATCATGTCTGATATCCCAGGCTTACCTGGTCACGGAATCATCCTTTCACTGAGCATCTCGTGTTAATGCTGTTCTGTGAAATACAAAGAATCAGTGTACAGGTTCTGTTTAAATGAAAACCGAAAACATCTCTTCCAGTTGATTAATTCCTGCTTATACAATTCTACATTTTTGATTAACGATTTTCAATTTGTTTTTTCCTAGATTGAATCATTAAAGAAAAAGTTGCAACAGAAACAGCTCCTAATATTGCAGCTTTTAGAAAAGATATCTTTCTTAGAAGGAGAGGTAAGAAGCTGTGTTTCTTTAAGTTGGTGTCTTCCCTACCATTAAATTTTATGTTGCTGAGCCTACCACCAACACTTAATTAAAAATATAGCTATTTCCTGGCCTTATAAAATTGATTGAAGGTTAACTGCTAGCACTGAAAATGAGGCTCTGACAGCTAGTTTTTCTTCACCATCTGACTCTCCTCATTCCAGCTTGCTGCTCACCTCTGCTTTTTGGCTCTAGTTTTTCTCGTTCAAGAATTTTCTTAGCCAGTCTGCTAAGCTGTTGATTAATACTGATAGTTTCCCACATTTGTGTAGTACTTTATAATTTGTGAAGTATTTTCATGTACATTCCTGACATGATTCTCTCAGCAACTTTGAGAAAGGCAAGACAAGGAATATTACCTCTGTATTAACAAATGAAAAAGCAGAGGCACAGAGAAGGCAGGTGGCTTTGCTCAGGGTCACCTAGCTTGATACATGCCAGAGCCAGGCTAGAAAAATGGCTTCTAATCTGGTGCTCTTCTAGTGCACTGAGTGAACGTGTTTTAAAGATTGACTTAATTTCACCCGAAATATTAAGATGCTTAGCATTCTTGACTTTCTGGCTTTTTGAAAGTCATTTGAGAATTTTGTGTAGGTTCCAGAGAAAGAAATTATGGGATTGGAAGAACCGTTAAGAGGCTAGTATTAATAGAAGGAGAAGCCAATGTCATTAGCTCTAAAGGCTTTTTATTAAGAGCTTGGCATTGAGCCTTTTCTTTTTGAGACTCCATGGAAAGCTGGTTTGCCAAGCACCTGCCCTTGTCTGGTTTTCCTCATTATAGTCCTTCCCCAGTGAGTTAGCCCAGGAGACAAGGACAAAGTAGGGAGAAAAGGAAGAAATGGCATTTATGAAGCACCTTGTGTGTGTTGGGCACTGTTAGATACTTTCCATGTTCTCCGTATAGCATAGAAGTTAAGAGTAGAATCAGATGTACTCAAGTGTGGACTCTGGATCTGCTTTTTATTAGCTGGTGACTTGGGGTAAATTTCTTACAATTATAAAATGGGGGTCATAAGTGCACCTGTGTGTGTCTGGCAATGGAATGAGAGTGCCCAGAGGTGCCTGGCATAGACTAAAGACGCAGTCACTTTTACCTTAATATCATTGTTCTCTCATTCTTAAAGGGGCTGCCCTCTGAGTTAGATTATATTTCCTCCACTTTATTGATGAAGAAACTGAGTTTCAGGGATGTTAGGGAAACTGCCCAAGTTATAGTAGGGATGGGCAAGCCTGAATCCAGAGCCCGAGCTCTTAACCACCATGTTTGCAGGAGTGGGGAGCTGGGTCTTCATGTTCTCTGTGTTTGGGGGGCTGCCTACAGCAATCATCACCAGAGTCCCTCATGGCCACAGGCACCAGATTCAGGGCCCAAGAGCCTCAGTCGGCTGAAGCTGAATAGATGGGTATTTTCCCCATCTCCACTCCTCTTTTCTTCACCACAGTCCCTGGGTCCAGTGCCAGCCCATGGATGACCATCTCTATTGCTAAGATTTCCTTCTGAAATGAAGCTCCCTGTGGGAGGAATCACACCTCCCCCAGTGAGAGTCAGAGAGGGAGGGTCCTGGTGGAAGTCCGCGTGACAGAGGGCAGTTCAAGGAGAGAGGAAAAACATGCTGATAGGAGAGGCAGAAGGTCGCCCCCCAACAGTGTCTGCCTCCCCCACCCCCTTTCCTCTGGCTGTGCTGCTCAAGCAAGCTCTCCTACAGGGGACCTCTGGGAGATGGAGTGGAACTGGCCCGAGTTATCCTTATCAAAAGGTATCTACTAACTCCCATCAGTCATTGGCTGAGGCCTGCTCCTGGGGGTTGTGGCAATTCTGGCCTCTTCTGAACAGAGCCAGCTGGATGCTGGTGGTCAGAGGAAGCCCCAGGTAAAGAGTTGCAAGTGGCATGTCAAGAAACAGTGAGGCCTAGAGGATATGCATGGGACCAGCAGTGTTGGCCACAGTACCTCATAAGCAAGACTCTGAAAACCAGCTTTCCTTGAGCATTTAAACGTGGATTATAAATTTGATTGATTAAATTCCCTAAAACTTCTTCCAATACAAATTTCATTTCATATGACTAATTGCTTTTGACCACGTCAAACATCCACCTTAAACAGACAAAACACATACAAAATAAGTTACATAATGACAAGATTTAATAACACATTTGGGCTTAAACCTATTCTGAAAGTTTAAATATAATGGGTTTAATTCATTTCTTCACTGTTTCTGTTTTTGTTTTTTAAAACCTTCCTGCAGCTATTATTTTACTTGTTTCAATATTTTATTAGGGTTAATATCATTTTGACACCTTCCAGACAGGTGCAGTAATTTCTCAGATCCAAAGGAGAAAAAATACCGTCTCTGTATTGCTAAGATTAGAGGATGTGGGTTACAGACCCACTGATTCTTGGCTGGGTCACAAGACTAGGTGACCCAAGATGATTCGAACTCAGAACCCCTTATCCTTGTGATGTATTGACCTGATCTTTAGCATTATTAAAAACTTATGCATTCCTTAATAATATTTTTTCCATACTTAGTTGGGCCATGTAGCGATTTCATCTCCTAGGAGGTGAGAGGTTAAGTTGGAATACTTGGTTTCCTTCTTCGTCTGTTTGCCTAGTTTATTATTTTACACACACTCTGCTGACTGTCATTCCTTGCTAGTTGTGCACAACCACTAATGCCAATGAATTGCTGCCCCTCTTTCCACCTGATTGTTGTATGACTACCAATGCCAAGCAGTCGTTCCATGGGCCCTGAAGTCCTGGGGTGATCTGACTTACATGTCCTTTTGTTATTCTTTCTAACTTAACACAGAAATATAATAAACATATACACATACATTTATATGACAGATATACAAACATGTATATAAACTGACATATATAAAAAGTACAGACATAAAATTAATACTCTATAAAAGAAAGTACACAGCTTTATACATTAATGCTTTCTAGTTCTAAAAATCAATAAAAATGTTAGCATGTCTTATTATAGTCACCCTTCTTTTCTATTAAAACTATCTTTTTGTACATTTTATATTGACTGTCCCTTTGAGTGACTTTAGGATCACAAAGCATTTCTCAGACTCAATTTGTTTCCATAATCATAATAATTATTTTCTTCTGCACCTTCTTTTTTTGTTTCTCAAATTGTCACAACTTAGCGAGGGAGAGTTCTCGTGTGTTAACTTCTTGGCCCAGGTAGCAGGGTTCCTGAGGCTCTTGGAGTCATTCTTGCTAAATGGCAATAACAAGGTGTTTCAGACCTAGCTTTGGTTTTTATCCTGTCCCAAGATATGGAATTGGCTTGTTTCCGAGGAGCCCTAGTCCATTTTAGGGGAGAGCTATGCTGAAGACCCTATCTAAGCAGCAAATTGATAGTGGACAAAAGTACCATGCCTACTGTTAGGCCAGCTTTTTTTTTTTTTTGTAAAAATTATATATATTTATGTTGTATGACATGATGTTTTGATATATGTATATATTCTGGAATGGCTAAATCATGCTATTTAATATATTGGGCCAATTTTAATAGTGTCAGAATTGGGAAAAAATATGGTTTTTTTAGGATGATGTCACACTGACCTTTTCCAAATTTATCTGATTGTAAATTATAATTATTTTGCTTTACAATACAGAGTTCCATTGGCCACTAAGAATATCTATTATGTTGAACTATTCTAACACCAGTAATTTTTATACCATGACTTTCCATCTCCTGTTTAAACCATAATGATGCCAATGATGGTGCTGCAGGTATCTTTGAAAAGTTTTGGGGGATACGTCTGGTAATCTCCCATATCCCATCTTATTAATAAAGTAGCTACCATTTCCTAAGGGCCTAATTGCAGACTCTGGAGCCAGGCTACCTGAGTTTAAATCTCAGCTCTGCCGCTTGCTAGTTTTGTGATCTTGAGCAAGTTACTTAACTGTTCTGTGCCTTAGTTTGCTCATTTGCAGATGGGAACCCTCTCTGTCAAATGACATCCTTTCCATAGAGTTGTTATGAGGATTAAATTAGTTGATTCTTAAGTGATTAAAAAAGTACCCAGTGTTTCTTTAATTGCCTGAGTCCCAGGGATTCCTTTTATTGTCTTTGATATATATTTCAAATTTGCAACCATGTCCCAGAATGAATCATTCTTTTACATTTGCTCATTCTCAAGGTTTGATGAAGCTAAGTTCATCAAACTGAGCTGTGTGAGAATTACTAAGCAGAATTTCACATTTAGGTGAACATGAGCAGGGCTTGGCCCTACAGCAGCCTGAGGGGTCCATCCCGGGATGTGAGACTGGATGTGAATCTTATATAGGCTGGTGACATCCTAGCTTCTGTTAGCAGTTGGTCCCAATGTTTGTAAAATTCAAAGGTGTTTGGGATCCATATCAAGTCTTGGAGTTTTGAGCGTCATAAGCTGACTGTTTGAATAAGTCATCTCTCATATTATTTGTTTCGGCTCCATGCCCAGGTGATATTTTGGAATTTATTGATCACGTTTATGCTCCTCTTAACTACAATGCTGATGGTTTTAAAGAAACAAGTTATTTATCTTCTCAGTTTCAAATGGAAGAACTTGGTTCTTATATGTGTCCTCACTTGGTCCAATCCTACCTGTCCCACAGGAACAGTTTAGCTGTTCTTCTTGAACAGCAATTCCAGGTCCGCACGGAGTACGCGGTGGTGTGCTGGAACTGCCTTGTACAGGCTCGTGAAAGCTGCTGTGTGTGTGCCTTCTCAGTTCTTCACTCAGTGATGTCACACTGGTAGCTTGGCATTAGCTATGAAGGGAGTCTTCACACCACAGTAATTGGCATACACCACAAATCAGGGCTTTTTTCCCATGGAGATCCTGTTGCTTAAAATTTACTAGTGCACCATTAATATAACTCTGTAGTTTTATCTAAGGAGTTAAGGGTTCACGGTTTAGATCCTGACACCTCCACTTACAAGCTGAGCCACTCTGGCCAAGTGACTT